AAGACAACTCTGAAGACAAGACACAATTCATCTTGACTCAGGCAACCTCCAAATATGCCTGTGAACTCACTTGCTCGCTTTGCCTGCAAAACTGCCCAATTTCTGTGACAAGCTAACAGAACAAAAATCTGCTTTTCTACCTGTGGAGGGGTAGTTCAGCGCTCTGTAGCACTTTGATGCCTTTCTGTTCACATACAGGAAGAGAAAGGCATTTTCAAACACCTGCTTTTGAATAGTAGCGATTTTCTAACCTGTGCTTTACCCTAAGCTAATGAAGACGTCACAAACTACAGCTAACGTATCAAAGCCAGCAACGAGCTCACAGCATGTCTTTCTACTCCTTGAAAGTACATACTGCTAGACCTATCATGAGTAAAATATAGTGAAACCACAGATTCAAAAATACTGCAAAATGTAACAAATGTATTATTCATCTAACTCTTGCTAATAGTTAATAATATTCATCAATAACCACAGACAAAGTGATATGGTTCTTACATACACTGCTGGATATGACCAAGCAGGAAATCATTTGCTAGACGGTGCCCCATGAAACTGAAATACATGCTTATTTCCAAAAACACTACTAGAATTGCTGTGTGAACAGCCAATTCTGCCAAATCTGTGCCAGATTTTTTAATAAGTATAACTGAAGTAAATGACAAAAAAAGTCAAGGTCCAGAAGCCTGTTTTAAACTAGATGCCATTCTGTATCACCTTTACTGAACACATAGGATTACCATGAAAAACAAAACAGGAGCACTGCAATCATGTTGAGGTGCAGTAAATAAGAAGCATTTACATGAACTGCATTTTTCAGTTTGTGTACAGTATGTAAAAGTAAGAACACCAATACTGCATCACTAATCCATCTCCCTCTGGAGGCAGGAAAGCTCCTCTCTGCAGGTTCCCAGAGTCTCTGGTGCAGAGGTTAAGCTGATCCTTGCAGTAACCCACCTTTTGGGACTACAGCACTTCAGTATGCAACTTACTAAAAGCAGTACTAGTTCATCTGTCTACCATATGATCCTAATTCAGAAGGCATTTTGAGAACCATGGGAAAATACATGGCAGCATACCTCTGATGTGCTATAAATCTACTCTCATTCCCAGTGCTATTCCCCATCAACTACAGTCAATGACTCCACTTTCTCCTTATGGCTGAATACCAAAATTTCTTGTTCTTCCTTGGTTTAACGGTAAGTCTTTGCATACATCCATACAAAGCAGCAAAGGCAGTCAAATGGAACTCTCTACCAGAGGGTAACTTCCACCCCCAGGTCCTCCCCATCCTGGGCATCCATATGCTTAACCAAGGGTCACCTCAAAAACATGTAGCCAGCTGAAAGGCTCACAGGTTCACTGGCGAGGCACAACCATGTCTTTGGTTTGTTCACTGATCACCTGAAGTTAAGACTCCTCCAACATTTGTGGATATTATCTTGATTAAAAAGGTGTCCAGCTAAAACATGCCTATAAATACAACCTTTAGCATGAGGCATGGCTTTTCCAGTTGTAACTTTTGGGCTAAGCCCAGCAAGCCCAGAATTCATAGCAGTACCTCTTATTAACTGAGATGTGGCCAATATCTCTGCCATCATCATAAGTTCCTCCAAACGAGCAATTCAGTGTGTCTCTCCCTTTCATAGTTCAAATTTCATCCAATATGAAGGACAGTTTTCAAAACAGTCTTGCATATAGATTTTCGATTCTTTCCACTTGCCAAATCCCACTATCAAATGCTATGCATGGAAAAAACTATTACAAAAATAACTAAAGCTTCAGCACAAAGTATCTATTTCTAATATCTGTATTACTGACCTTCAAGCAAAATTCTACTTTTAAATTAGCAGTGTTGTTTAGGTATGTGGTCTTTCATAGTTGTTTCCCCCTGCTTCAGAAGCATGAGAACTACCTTTTAGGAGGTTTACATCTAGGCTTTCTCTGCATTAGAACCACTTGTTACAGCATCCGCACTGGAGCAAATTCCCATACAGAACACCACCCCTGTAAGCACAGTGCCATGCAGAGATCCCAGGGCTCATCCTGAAGTAGTCATTTCAGGTACTCGCAGCAAGTCTGTCATACGGCATGGCAGCCAACAGAGACCTGCTCTTTGCTTCTCAGGACTGGGCCACAGGGTCATGTCTGGCCACTGCCATTGGTGTTGCACTCATGTACCAGAGGCTTCTAGCAGCCAGACCCACTCCTTCCGAAGTAGGGAAGTAACTAAAAGCAATGTCAAATGCAAAGTGGGTGTAAGACCAAAAACCAGCACAGAACAAAAACATGTAATTATGTGCAGTTCTTTGGCAGGCTACTGCCAGTAAACACTGAGATTCATAAAGAAGTAAGCAAGATCCGAGAGAAATAACATACAACCTTAAGGAGCTGGTCAGTCATTTCTGGGTACCTTTATGAAATAACATTCAAACCTATTAAAAGGTGCCTGGTGTACCCTTGTTAAGTACAGAGTACTCAAGTTTCAGACCCAGATCATCTGGTGGCCTTTGGCAAGGTGTCTTCAGTCTCTCTTGACATTGCAAATTTTTCAACACAGTGAATTTTACTCTGTTGAGTAGTTCTACTCAGGGGGCTGACTGGATGCCACTCTAACACATACAGCAGTTCAAAGTGCTCAGCACATGACAGGATCGCCCCTGAAAGGCCCAGGTAAGGTCTATGTTAGCACTAATATGGCTTCCAATACTGACTTAAATGGCAACAGTTAGGACTCAAATGTCAATTACCAGAAACAAAACAAAACTGAGCTTACCAGCTTAGTATGTATAGAACCAATGGCCATTTTCAGAACTGAATTTCATGGTACTTGCTAGCCCAGGGCAAGTGTAGCTCAATTATTGATTCAATAATTTTCTCCAAAAACCGTATTGTTATGCATGCTTTTTAAAAAAAATACAGAAGAGTTTACCCAGTTACCAGATAACAAGACTTGCAAGTGCCCATTTAGCTTCTTATAGGCTCATCGATACAGATTTAAAGTTAACGTATAATACTAACTGGCTAGCTTTAAAGCAATGTTCCGTTCTACTTTGATTTGGAAGAAAAACAATTCAGCAAACACTCTGTAGAATGCTGTTTTCATCTTTAATGAAAATTCTCAACTTCTTCAAATGGTTTCCAAACCCATTCTGCTGTAGACATGAAGAAAAAAAAGTTTTCTAAGCTGGGTTCAGTCAGCTTGTTAAGGTAATTCTTCTGAATATATTATTTGGTAATATTTCAACAAGGTTTTTAGAAAAGATACTTCTGTACCTTCACCTCCCATCAAAGTTTACGAGCTGCAGAGAACTAATCTGTAACATAGCTCAAGTGTTTGCTGATATTTTCACAATAAGGCAACTATTTATCAGTTTATTTGTGAACATCTTTGACATAAGCAACATAATCTGATAATATTCCTCCCCTCCCCCCATCACTAACTGAATTTAAACATTGTCACTTTCTAAACAAAGTTGGCCGACACTTGTCATAAATGATAATGAAGACCTATGGTGAAGCCCAGTCCTTGGAGGTGTTAATTGGGAATTTGCCATTGATCTTAAGAGGGCCAACATTTACTCAAGATTTATAAAGTTAGCATACTTTACTACATGCTGGTAGGTACTGAAACACAGTGGTTTGGTTCATTCAGAATAATTTCATGATAACTATGGTAAGCACCAGAGCAATAACTTTAGCAAAGGCATATGAAGAAATTAAAAGGAAATACTAGCTCTCCTGTATTTATTTCACCTACTTGACAATTACGTTTAGAATCCTGAACAGTGAAATAAATTCCCTCTTCAGCTCGACACCACCTGCAGTTTGAGCTGTTGATAGCAGAGAAATGTTACCCTGACCAGCCCTGGTATGTTCAGCCCCAGAGCAGTGTAGAGACTTTCCCACTGACCAAATGCAAAGTTCCCCACCTGAATACCATCCCACAAACACTGAAGAGGAAAAAAGCAGAAGCAAGAGCTTTATTTCATTCAGTGCCTACAAAAAGACACAGGCATTTTAATACAATGGCTTGATTAATTCATTCCAAACTCCCTTTAGCCAGACGACTTAACTCTTACTACAAGAAGAGTGCACAGTCCTGGGAAGAATATTACACGCTGCATTACTCTTAAGAAGATGAAGAGATAGCCAGTGTATATAAAAGTGTAGCTGGAAGGCATCTGTTAGATATTGACAATATTGACTTCAAGAGGTCTTAAACATCTTTCTATTTACTATTTTTCTGAATGATTTTTCCATTCATCATTTTGGTTACAACTGACATTCTGAAACTAAAACCAGAAGAATTTTTTTCCTTTTCTTTACAAATTGTCGACTTCGTTAACATTGTCAAAAAACCCACAAGAATGAAATTAATATAGCAATATAAAGACAAAATTGGCAGGTGTTTATATTGTACTTGGACACATCCACTAAACAGTCTCATACATCAATCTACCGTCATCACTGGCAATGCCTACCAATGTTTTATGTTTGCAGTGTGAAATGACAAGTACAGATATCGCTTCAGCAGACGGAAAAACAACACGGGAATAGTATCTGACACGAATGAGAAGCACGGAGTAGTGACTCAGGTGTCGTTTAAATGCCCCGTACTTCCAGGATGGAGAGCGGCCACTGTCTCTGATCTAAACCGTACAGGCAGCGACCCGCTCGGCAGCGCACCAGCCGGGGTGGGAACTCCGGGATTCACCGTTACCTGGAGCCCCCTCGGCTCCCGCGGAGCCCCGCGGAGGCTGCGTTCCCTCCCGCGCCCCCGCCCCTTCCCCCGGTGCCACCGCACACACGCCGCTGCTGCGAGTCAGAGCTCCTACACCCTCTCCCCCAGGCCTCCCCCCCCCCCCCCCCCTTTTTTTGGCTGCAGTGACAGCCAGGGTCTGCCCCCCTCTCCCCGCCGGTGATCGGACCCCCGCAGTCGGTTTCCTCCCCGGGGCAGCTGGTTGGGAAGGACAAGAGGTGAAGTTGCCGGGACTTACGGTGGCAGCGCTCCCGGCGCTGGGGAGGCAGCTCTCCCGGCCTCCCGTCACCTCGGGCCACCTCCGCGGTGGTTCGGGGCCCAAAGCGGCGCAGCGCGGACGGCCGGTCACTCCCCGGAGGAGCGCACGGCTCCGTCCGCTCCGCAACACCCGGCCGGTGGGTGCCCGCGTCCCGGAGGGGGCGGGGTGGCCGAGCGCTTCAGCCGGCACACGGACAGGCACTGGCCAGGGCCGAGCCCCTCCGGCGGGGCTGCGCCTCGGGAAGCATCTGCCTCCTTTCATCCGCGACGAGCACGCCCCCCCGCTCCCCCCAGCCGCCGGCGGGGCTTCGCGCCGACGTCGGTGCGGGGCGGACGGAGAGCGCCCGGCGGCAGCGGCAGCGCCTCCCCCGCCTCCGCCTTTCCCGCGGCTCCCGGCCGCCTGCTACCGGCGGGGCGGCCGCGCAGGAGCCGGCGCTGCTCCGGCGGGCGGGGCGCGGGTGATGAAGTGACGAGGGGGGTGCCGCTCCCGCCGCACCGAGGAGAGGGGACGTCAGGGCCGGCACCACGTCCCCCGCCGGGGAGCCCGTGGGCGGCGGCTGACAGCCCTGGGCGGCGGCTGACAGCCCTGCCCCGGGTGTCCCCCGGTGAGGGCCGGTGGTCCCGGGTCCTGCTCCGCTTTACCCTCTTCCTCCCGTCACCTTCCTCCCCCTAGTCTCGGGGAAGTTTTCTGACCCGAGGCTGCGTTGCGGTCCCATGACGGGCACCTTTCCGAAGGAGAAAGCCGGAGGAGTGGAGGGCGCGGAGCTGAGACCCCGGACCTCGGGGAGCCCTGCCCGCCCCGGGGATGCACCCCGCATCCTCCCTTCTGCCCCGTCTCCTCTGCTGCTCTCCCAGCTTGCGTGAACCATTTACCTACCGTCCACTGAGCCGAACAAGGGATGGCCGCAGAATTTACCGGACGGCAAAGTCATCTAAATTCCCGTTTCTGCTCCAAAAGCGTTTCAAACAAAAGGAGAGGCCGAGGAAGACCCTGTTCCGATCACCTGTGGTCTCCTCAGAAGAACAGCCCCCTGCTATACCTGCTACGCGGGCATCCAGAAGCAACTGAGCCAACACCCCCACGCTGCAAGAGCGCGTCGAGTGATTCTGTGTGAAGTGCTGCAGGGGAGGACTTCTCTGCTGTGAGTGCTCCAAGCTGCCCAATATTTAAACACCCGGAGAGCCACAGTAAGGTAGGAATAGTGAGCGAACGCACGGTGATTCACCTCCGCGCTCCTGCCAAACGAGGCAGCGCGGACAGCAGGTAGGAGGGTGTCTTCCCAGCAGATGGAGTCAGGAGGCAAACAAAACAAACTTGCTCACAAGGTACCACCACCAGGCTAAGAATAGCTTGCTTCTTTTGTCTTCCTGCGCGAAGGACGTCGCTGCCGTCAAATAAAAGGAACTTCGATACTGGCTTTTAAGTTGCCTGGCTTGCTTCTGAATGAAGTTAGCTCTTATTGAAGTGTTTCTCAAGTGTTTTTCTTCTACCTGCTGCTTTCTTTTATAGACTACAGTCAAATTTTACAGCTTGCCCTTTTCATAGGAACCTGCATTCAAACACAGTGGTCTGCATTTCTTCCTGCTTTCACAGAGCTCGGGCTATGCTGAAGAGGGAGGGAGAGAGGAGAGGAGCAAGGGAGCTTAGTGCTGAGAAAGAAGCGCTGGGCTGGGCATGTAACCAAGAAGAAGGAACCTCTTTGCCACTTTTTCCAGCAGCTTTTTGAAAGAGTGCCTCTAGATAGCACCATCGAAGAAATTTGTCCTCCTTAGGATATATTGGGGGCAGGGGGAGAGGGAAACTTAAAGATGAGACACTCATCTTTATGATGAATGCTAATGTAAATCATCATCTCCTTAAGATTTAAATTTTCACTACAGATTTCACCCTTTACTCTTGTGAGGACAGCAAGGAGGATCAGTGGGAGTTGCTTTTATGAGCTCTCATAATGCCACAATTGCTTCACTGTTCACAGCTTTCTCTGGCAGGAAGGTTTAGAGAAGGTTTTCATTAGCTGCACAGAGCAGTACCCCTATGGACCAGCTGCAGACTTGTCCCTCTCATACTCCAGCTGCCCTTAGGTGGGCTCAAATGAGTCTTGGTTCTAAGTGCTTGAGATGTTTGTGAAAGGGGAACTGCTGAGAAGCAAAACCCTAAGCTGAAGCCTAATGAGAGTAGGAAAATCACCTTTCCCGTCACTGCAGCAGTAAGTTGAAAGACGAAAAACAGAGAGCTTTTTTCATATCTGATAGCCTGGAGTATTTTCTTTTCCAGAGGTCTGGGGAGGGAGGTGGTGGAGGGTAAGTGGGTCACCTAACAAGTACAGATTGCTTTAAAAGATACAGAAAGAAGCTGAACTATGTGAAGGCAGGTGATAGGCCAGTGGTGCCTTCCATAGTCCACTCATTTAGGGTTTTGTGTGTTGTCTGGCTAATACTGTTCATTCTATGATTGGAAAGCATCACATTCTCAATGACTGTTTTTATACTTATTTCAAAACAGATTTTATGTTGCTCTGTTTTCTTACTGAGTAGTGTTCAGCTGCTGAAGTGTAAATCTGCCATCCCATGATCTGGAAATAGCTTTTCTAAGGTTTGGGTGGTTTTTTTATAAACTCCCGTTTTGTTAACCATTACCTTGCACACAGAAGCAACACTTTCTGCTTTGTTCTGCTGTGAGCAATTTCATTGTGCCCCATGGGACTGCAAGCCTGAGTAGTTACTCTTTGGCATGTGTCTGAAATGCTGATCAGGTCCATAAATAACCACTGGAAAATTATTATTAACCATACCTTGGTGGTTTTATTTCTGTTTGTGCTCAGGAGTCATTAAAACACTCTGACTTCCACACAAGAGAGGTGGTTGAGTTACTGTTTTATATTGTGAGATTATAGTCATGCTTTGTACATGAAAAGTAAGTCAAAACCTGGTTCCAAGATTTCAGTGATTTCATCCTGTTATGAAGGAAAACATTTTTCCATGTTGTATGGAAAGTTGTGCATTTGTGTAGTTTGTCTCATTTCCACCATCTTTTCTTTTTTTTCCTAAACATATTTTGTCTACTTTTAATGTTACTACACGTAAGGATGATGCTTGTGAAACAGGCACTGTCCTCATTTTTTCATCAGGTGTAGAATTCGAAATAAAAATCCAAGTTCCCAGCTGGACCTATAAATTTTCCATGAACTGAGCAGAGGTATTTCCACAGTCTTTTGCAGATGCCTGAATTGTGAGCTGCTTGGAAGTAAACTATTTCTTATCACAGTTTGTGTATCTTTCCTACATGGAGTGGTGCACCCCATAGAGACTACGTGGCATGCTGTAGCCATGTAGGCATGCTGTACCTGTTGGTAAATGGATTATAAATAATGCTTTTGAGTAAGGGCTTTATTCTTCATTGGATTACAAAATGGAAGGAGTAAAAGACAACATTTTTAATGGTAATATGTTACCATTAAAAAATGGTAATATATTTGGCTTAACCCTGTGCAGGGTGAAAAGAATGGGAACTTGCCATTAGCTTTAGCACAAGTTGGATCAGCCCCTTTAAGGCTTCCATGGGAATATTTAATTCTTTTGCCTACAACTTTGTAATCATGACTTTGCACTCTTAGAAGCGACTTGATTGAAAACTCTGAGAATAGTTACAGCACTATCAGCAGCAGTGCAGGCTTCCTAGCCCTGCCTGCCTGTAAACATGCCAGCTCCGTGAGAAGGAAATTCATGGAGTGGGTATAGCTGCTGTTCAGGCCATGCATCTGTAACTGGGTAACTTCTAATTTTCAGAAGAAGAGGTCACTCTGGAATTAGGGGTTTGAAGAATGGGAACTAAACAGCTTTATGTAGCTATTGCCAGTTGAAGAAGTGCATTCCAAACATGATAGGCAACATCAGGACAAGTATAGAAATGCTCAAGCAGCTGGAAAGCATATGAACAATATAAATAAGGATTCCAAGTGGAAGAGAACAATGCTGTGCCATTAGAGACACATGTAAATTAGGGAAGCTGTTACAGGAAGGTGCGTGAGTATATTGGATGAACGGGGAAGCGTAAAACCAGAAAAGCAGAACAGACATATTCAAAATGAGGCACGATGTGTGACCTATTCAGGAATCTCAGGCTCTGATATACTGCACTACTTAGATCCTCAGTTCTAACAGGTTGCAGTAGTATTAAAAAGAGCTACTGCATGATATAACACAAGATACCTTTAAAGATACATTTCACAGAATCGCAGAATCACAGAATGGTTTGGGTTGAAAGGGACCTTAAAGATCACATAATTCCAACCCCCCTGCCACAGGCAGGGGCACCTTCTGCTACATCAGGTTGCTTCAAAGCCCCATCCAATTGGCCTTGAACACTGCCAGGGATGGGGCATCCTGTTCCAGTGTCTCACCACCCTCACAGTAAAGAATTTATTACTAATATCTAATCTAAATCTCCCCTCTTTCAGTTTAAAACCATGACCTCTTGTCCTATCCCTACGTGTCCTTGTAAAAAGTCCATTAATACTCAATACTCATCTGTGTACTTTTATACAGATAAAATTTCATATCTTTGTAAGAATAGTCCAGGGCCTATGTATCATTCAGGATTTACATATCCCCTCAAAATATGTTTTGAGTAAAACTAAAGCAATACTATAAACTCATATTGGTTCTGTGAAAAAAGTTGACTTTTACCTCAAATCTTTATTCTGCTATACAGAAATTTTTATTATGTCTCTAAGTCTGACCAGCATGTTATTTTAAAAAGTCACATTGCCTGGAAAATGTAACTCTAACGGGTTACAGACTAAACCCCAGCTCTCGACAGTAAGTGCAGTCTTAATCATTCTCGTTATCACCATTTGTTTGTCACTCAGTGCAACGTATCTAAAATGAAGTTCTGCCCCTCCAAACAAGTGGTGTATAGGAATATCCTTATGTTGGATGTGAAAGTTCTCCCACAGCAACAGGAGGTGTGACTGACGTAGAGTTACTTGGGTACATAAATGTTTGCAGGATGGAGGCATTCATCGTAAACTTTGGGGGGAGACAGAACCGTATCTGATCAATAAAATGCCTGCCAGAGTCTTAGTACTATATATACATGCCTATACTTGAGCAATGTGGGGAGAGATGCTTTATACAGTTTACCACAATATCATGCAGTATAGGAAAGCTGGGAAATGTTTCAGCTGCCTTTACAGTTAATTATCAGTATTACAAGGACATGTTAGAGAAGAAATCTAATGGATTTTTTCTTAGCTCTTTAAATAAAGGTGAGAATGGCAGAATTCATTTCAGATTGGTAGCCACCTTTATTCAATACTAAGAGACAGTGCAGCTGCACTGAAGAGGA